CCCATTTGTTCATTTTGGTTTTAAGGGAAACTGCTAGAACACAATATTTTGTTTAATTGGCCACACAGTCGAAATTTCTTTAACTGTGTGACACACTGAACGCTTGCAAGCGTTGAGATTGGATTTTTCCTGTAATGTTTACTGTGGTATTGATATGACATCAAACTGAAACACAATACAGGTCTTTTGCAGCCGAAGTAACAAAATTCTTCAAAAGCGCACAAAACAAGGAAGTATTTCAGACCAAGAAACGATACTTAATTACATTCTCTATCAAAAAAGTTGTTTTTCATTAGATCGATTTCTGCGCACATTCATGGCTTGGCCAGTCTACATTTTGATTGGAATATTTGATAAGTTTTCAGCCATTTAAAAATGCGCTAGTTCCACTTTATTGCTCACCTCTTCTGTGTGTGAAATTCAAACTACCAAACCCAAAATATTTTCTGATATTTGGTCTCTGCATGTTGAGCATAAGCGAAACTTTCTCGATATCAAACATTGACGTCACAGAGTTGAAAAGATTTGAAAACAATCAAATATTAACATAAAAATATAAGAATCGAAAGTAAAACTGTTTTGTATTCCTTTCGTAAAAAATAGCGTGTTTCCAGATCAAAATGGACCTCTAGAGTGAACCTCTAGTACTTTCGCTGGCTTTATTGAATGCACTTTCCGTTTATATTTAGCGGCTAAACTGGATACTAGGTTTATTGTCTGGTTCAGCTGGCTGGTTTTCTCCCTGCTCTTTCCCTTACTGGGCACAAGAGTGTGTGAATGAGATTTTATTCCATACGTTTTTTGAGCCACGTTTACTTCAAGGTTGTATTCATCAGTATCACAGATAAGTTCAAACATAAATACAATGAGACTAACACCTCGATCTAGTGATTTAAAGACGTGTTTTATTAAGTCCCGCAGAAAGAGAGGCCATGTCTTCGTCAAGTCAGTCTTCTAGTCTGGACGATATTTATAAATCTGATATAATAAATGGAACAAATAGAAATAAAATGGAGTTTTGATACCCAGAAGCCCCTTAGAGATTCCTTAAGTATAGATTGCAGGATACCTGTATAGAGGAAATGTCTTTAAGTGCAGAAATAGGGATATCCCACGGGTA